AGTAGAACAAACTATTATGACCAAGGCATTGCAGCACCTTGTATCCTCCTTTGAATATTGATCTAAAAGAAGATAACACTTCTTAAGACATACAGCATTTCCATACTCTTTTGCCATGTCTGAACTATATTAAGCAAAAAACCAGAGCACAGTAACGTTTAAGCTTTTGTGTCCTGTGAAATACAAGTTTGCATAATTCAGGAAAGGGAAGTGATTTAAATTGGTAACTTCCACCTTATCTGAAAAAACTACACTGTAACATAGCCTGGAGTTTATAAAGTACTGTGAAATACGCCTTTCTAATGAAAGCCATTTGCACTTCACAGGGTGCCAATGGGAGGTTACATTACTGCCCAACAGTACTTCAATTCCATATTAATATGCAAGAAAGGTTATTTTATTTCAGTTTAAATATATACTTCATTGCTACTGCCTATAAGATCCTGAGACTTTTTCACCTTTAATCATGCACTTGAGGAATAGCACCATAGCACCACATAGCCAAAAGAAGACCATAAGCATTGATCTGATTTAATGATTGATGTTCCCACAGAATATGGAGAGAAAAGATAAAACTTAAGATCATTATACTAGTTTTGTTTTCCCTACTTTTAGAGCTGTTGAAAACATAAAAGTGAATTTTAAAAGGCATAGAAAAGAGCTACTAAAATGACCAAGAAATCAGAGAACCTCTTAGAAGAGAGGATGTGAACAGTTTGTTCAGTCCAGCAAAAGGATGTGATTATTCACCAAGCAAATCCAAGTAAACAACAGTGCAGAAATATTGAGTGCAAAGAAAATCAGCATAAACAAGTTTGAATTTCCAGATTAAATTTATTTTTAATAAGTTATCCAACTCTCAGAGTAACAAGGTTCTAGAACAGCCTTCTAGCAGAAAGGATAAAAATTGTTTTTAAAATGGAGCTTGACAAGTAGGGATTACATTATGTAATACTAGCAGGAGACTGGATTTAATAAAGTAAATCCATAGTACAGAACTTCCCTATATTCCAGATTGATTTATAATTACAGTTTTGAGAATACAGAAAAAATAGAAAGGGAAAGATACAGCACTGGCTTACTTATTATTCTGTAGGAAGAAGGACTGTATTGTCCTCTGAATTTTTTTATTTTTTTTTTTTTTAGAGGATGAATATGAAGTTATTTACTATTACAGGAAACTGCAAATTGCTGTAGCACTTCTGCCCACAAAAACCCAAGAGATTTGGACAAGTTCAGTGACCACAGCATCATATTTTCCATTGTAGTAAAGACAATATTCCTAAAGCAGCTGGTCTCTTATTAATAGAATTCATTTATCTTATTCATAGGAAATGAAGCACACAGTAGACAACAAACCAACTGGCCCATTAAGAAACATATTAAATTTAACCTTTTAAAGAAATCAGTTTAAAAATCCTATTTTTTTTTTTTTTTAAATCCACAATATTTTCTTCAAGCAGAGACATCATTTCATATGGCATTTGAAACTCAAAACTGCTCCTTTGGTAGCCTGTCATAATCCAATTACCAGGTTTCTCTAAAGCATACCAGTTTCAATATCAAGGCTTAAGAACACCCATGTCGAGTCCTTCAAGGTCTTTCTTAATACAGTAATCACTACTGAGAGTAAGGAAATTCACTTGCAGGTACTACTGGTTCAAAACAAAACATCATGTGATATCCAGAAAATAATGCAGTCTGTAACCGTCTGCTACATCCTGGTATTTGTTTTCTTCACATATATTTGGCTAAAGATAATATGATACAGACTGCAGCTGCTCTAAGCACTAGAGGAAGCAATTAAAATCCTTCTCTGGCCACCAACTAGCTTACTGTTGGTATCTCTGCATAAAAGGCAGAACACTGTTAAAATGTTTTTGAAAGTTACATCCATAATCCATAGATAATGCAGACACCAGCAAAGATTGCACAGGACCTACAAATGCCTATCAGAAGTAACAGAACAGCAATGCAACAGATAACTTTAAAAAACCCCTAATGGCAATGAGCAAGTTTAAATTCCCTTTTAGTGGGAAAAAAGAAAATATAGTCTCTCACTGTAAATAGTAGTTGTAGGGCTGAAGTAGGTATGATGACCACATGTGTGCTCCATGAAGCTGTGCTGACTATTGTGAATGCTTACTTACTAAGTAAGTGCAACACTGGAAATATCCCAGAACAGCACAGATCATATGGTCAAGTTTAGTTAGCATCACATCTTAATGTATGGCCATACTAAGTGGGAAATATATTTTTTTTTTTTATTGGGAATAATATACTTAGGGACTAAGAAATGTAAGTTACATAAATAAAGAAGAATAACTGCTATCAAACTTCAGCAGTCAGTATTCAATGAACTCAGTCTTGCTTCACTTACAATCTGGAAAAGACATTGCAAAGACATAATCTTATGAAAATATGTGAGACAAAGATATCTGGGAAAATGCATCTCTCTGGAAAAATACAAAGGTTTTGGTTTTGACATTAATAAAAAAAAAAAAAATCCCCAAAGAGATAAAAAGTTCGTAAATTCTTATGCTGTAATTTTGTCCTTTTTTTTTCCAGGGAGCTAATCCCCAAAATTTTTCTATGTATAAACAGGCTCATCACTGTATTTTGTAATTAGGTTTAGTAGAGAAGTGAATCATTCCTGAAAACCCTGAAATATGCCAAGCAATTTAAGACAATCTTTTGTGTGTGTGAAATTCAATAAAATCCTGGTAAATAACACCTCCTTGCATCCCTTGCAAAAGACATTATTTTTGAAATAATGTCAAAAGACAGTCTTTTGTCTTGTGTCTCTGTTTCTCCTTGTGTCAAGTAGTAAAATAAAACTAATAACTGCTACTAAATTACAAAATTCTAAAGATATCTGCTAAATCTTATTTATATTACATGTATATATAACACCACAGTTCTGTATTACTATCTGCATCACACTAAGACACTTGAAAAAGTATAATATTACTTAAAACAGCTGTAAACATACTGAACTTTCAACCACTTATCCCAAAACTTAGGCAGTTCTCATCTTTGAATATGTGGATTTGATAGGACTTAAGATGGACAGGGCCTCAAAAATCAGGAGAAACAGAAGGCTTCTGCACACAGTGAGCTTTATGATCACCTGTACAAGATGAACATCACTTTTCTGGATTGTTAAATACATTATTCATTAACTTTGTCAAGTCAGTAGGCGTATTATGGAAATTAAAAGCTTACAAGTAATTCTACAATGGAATTGCCTATATAATCTATTGGACAACATCCTAGACTAGGTTGTTTTTTCAGAAGATAGCTACAAAGAAATTTCAAAGTACATGACTGGCAAAAAAGTACAGAGAAAAACAGACTTGGTGTTTTAATTGGAAACAACCTAGAATGAACAAGAAGAAAAAATATCAATTCTGCCCTAGGAGTCATTCCACAACTGGACCTCACAATGTGAAGCATTTAGGCATATGTATTTTCAACATTGCACCTGAAAGATCTGTTAAATTAGGAGACTGAAGAAATAATGAAATCAAAAGTTACCTAATAATCAAGGTCAGTTGTAACAGGAAACCATTTTTTCTAAAACTTTTTTTACCCTCTTAATTCCAAAGTTAGCAACAAAATCCCTCTTCTGGGTGCACTAAAAAACTATATGCTTCTACTTAGATTTGTCAGGATTAAATCTGTCAAAAGATAAATTTTTAATATGATAGGCAAGTCTCTTACATTCATAAACTAAATCTTTCAAGAGATAGTAATGCATTTAGTACACCTCAGCTATTTGAAAAAGGCAGTGTAGTCCATTGGTACAAATCCTAATTGTAGGACAAGGCTGAAGTAGGCACAATGGCCATGCAGATGGGATGCTAACACCTATCTAAATTGAAACATAAAACTTATGTTGCTCTGCGCTACTCAGAGAGTCCTGTTTATTTAGAAAGACAATGAAACAGTGCAGAAAATGCTAGGGAAAAGCTGCTGAGGATTTTATATCAATTCTAGCTTTATCAGTTCCCACTGCATTCACAAATGTCAACTGCTGCTTCATGGAGCACGCTGTTACAGTTCTGCATGCCACCTTGGAAAGCAGCACTCTTCAGAATTAATGTAGCAAAACCACATTAAAATAAAGTCTGACTCATTTTGGGGCCACTCCAAATAAAATGCAAAATATTTGCATACTACCTTAAGCGTATTTGTTCTACCTTCAATTTATGTGGAATCTGCCAGGTATTTATAAACATTGCATTGTTAGAGTAACTTGAATATTTAATGATGAAAATATTAAAATATTGTAACATTTGTAACACAGAAGTTTAATTTCACCTCAAAAACCATGGACATGCTGTCATTTCATATAATAAAACTTACATTTAGCAACCTATAAAATATTATTGTGTTTTCTAACTGCATCAAGTCAGTTTCACTGTCTCTGCTCTAAGCATGGTCAGGGATGACATATTCCAAACCTCATTTCCATTGAAGCTCTACAGCACAGTTCAGATTTTTTTACCCCATCAGAACTGATCCTACAAAATGATATGTAAATAAAAATCCTAGATCACCTAGAGATAAAACTTGGTAAATAATGCCTGTTTTGTTTCCGGGCTTGTAGGTTATTAAATATTCAAAAATAAAATAATAGAGTTATCATTGAATTCAACTACTTCACAGTTTGATTCTCAAACTCATTTTAAGAAATTTGAAAAAAAGAAAAGGCTTGCATAAGTATTTTATACTTCATTGATTTTAAAGGTGAGTAGGAGCAGCTAATTAAGTCAAATTTCTGTGCTCTAGAAATATACAGTAATGTTACTCGCTGTGACAGGTACACTATCCTTGCAGCATCTACAACAGTGTCTTCAGAGCATTAAGTCCAGGATGTCTAATTTGTTGAGAAAAATCCAGACATTTCCTCAGCAGCCCTAACACAGGAATTAAGGCAATATTCTATAGAATAGTCATGAAATTAAGGGTTTTGAAATGAAAAAAGGACAAAGATATCTTACTATACCAAAACAAACTTTATTTTCCTAAGGCTAAAAGACACACAACATTCTAGATCTGTACATAGGGTACAATAAGCATTGTGTCAAATAGAATAACATTTGAACTAAAAGGAGGAGAACTTACAAATTACGTAGTCATTACTTGAGACAGAAATATCGTTCTAAATCCTGCAAGGACTCTTAAGTGTTCTCCCCAAAACCAGTGGGATTACTCAAGAATTAGGGTTCAAATCACTTCTCAAATACAGTATTTGTTCTATTGCAATCTGTCTTTGGCAATCATAAAATGGCTTGTGGTGGAAGGAACCTTAAAGATCATCAAATTCCAAACTCCCTCCCATGGGCAGGAACACCTCCCACTAGACAGGTTGCTCAAGGCCCACCCAACCTGGCCTTGTACCTTTCCACGAAGTGGGCATCCATAGCTTTTTTGGGCAACCTGTTCCAGAGCCCCATCACCCTCACAATGAAGAATTTTTTCCTAATATCCCATCTAAATCTACCCACTATATTACCCCTTGGCCTATTATTCATTGCATATCCTAAAAAGTCTGTCTCCAGCTCTTGTGTGCCTCTCTTTAGCTACTGGAGAGTTGAAGGAAGTTTTCCCAGAGCCTTATCTTCTCCAGGCTTAACAGCCTCAACCTCTCAGCCTGTCTTCAGACAGCCTAAGAGGAAAGCTGTGTTTGTTCATATTTGATCTGGAACCAAAAGCAGCCAGTTCTCAGTGCTAGTCCAGGTCAAAAAAGTACTCATGGCGGTATCCTAATCTGTCATTGCTGTTTCATAGGACCAGGCTTGTAACAGTAAGTTTTTACTACTTAAAACAAGCTCAGACTTTCTGTTACACGGAGAAAGCTTTTCAGCAACAAGAAAGGCTTAAAGTACAAATAAACTTTGGACAACAGGTGACAGATCCAGAGCGACTTAAAGACAAGAAGTATGTGGCAAGGTTTACAGTACGGGAGGACAAACCGAGTCTAGTGACGCTCCTGGGCAATTCTTAGCTTTCACTTTATGATCTTCAGAGCATGACCGCCGTTTTCACGCCCCAGAAAGCTGTCAGTGCTCAACTCACAGACCTTTAAAAGCACTACACTGCTCGTGTTTATCTCTGCTCTCAGAACCTTTCAAAAATACATAAAAGTTATTCTACCACATGAAGACTCGAGAGTATAGGGGAGAAGATATAAACTCTGCCTATAAACTCACTTTATTTAATCTTGCTCTGCCCACTTATTACGAACATCTTCGTTATCTGAAGACACAACTAGCAGCCGGAGTGCCAAAAAGAGACCCCGCCGCAACACTCCACGCCTGGTCCGTACTGTACAGCGATCTACAGGGCAACTTTCCGCCCCAGCCCCGACCCCGGGCTCTGTCCGCATCCCAGGCGGGACCACCTGGCCGCTCCGCGCCCCGGCGGCGCCCACGCCCCGGCGGGGA